GGCCCTCCCTTCAGGCAGTCACCCCAAGCGCAGCTGCTGGCATTCTCGGGTCCCCTTCCCCACCACCGCCGGATGGCACCTTGAGAGGGTTTGCCAGTCCGACGCCCTGCCAAGCTCTCCCTCACCCTGCTCCCAAGGGGAAGCCCTAAGCTGCCCCCTCCCCATGCAGAAGAAAGGGAGGCAGAGCTGGCAGCGGGTTCAAAGGCTTGCCCAGGGGGTCCTCGTGCCCCAGAGCCGGGGTGGGCATGAAGTCCCCCATCCAGCCAGGGAAGCCAGCAGATACCCGTTGCTGCTGGCAGGAGACGAAGGTCTGGAATCCAGGGGCCACCCCGAAGCCCAGCTGGTCTATGGAGGGCGGCTCGTCCTGGCTGTGGATCTGGACCTTCACGCCTGCCTCATAGAAGGTCTCATCTGTAACAAGCACACAGGCACACACAGAGAGAGAGAGAAGGGGAACAAGGTGGGGCCAGGCAGGCAGGCAAAAGGAATCTTGGGTTGCCTCCATGCCCAAAGGGGCACAGGAATAGCTGGGGGGCACCACCCACCTTGGCTTTCTTCGTTAAACACTCCTCCTCCCCTCCCTCCCTCCCTCCCTCCCTCCTCAGCAGTACAATTTCCAGACCTTCCTTTTGCAGCAGCAGCCCTTCTGGGGCGCAAAGGGCAGGAAGCCCTCTTCAAGGACAACTGGGGGGGGGATGGAAGCAGAGCCCTGAGTTCCTGCAGCCCCCCCCCCTCGGACCCTGGAGGTCAGGTGTGGCAAGCCAGCCTGCGCCCATGATCCTACAGGGGCTGCACCCCCCCGCCCCACCCACCTCTCCAGCCACTCACCAGTCTCCCCCCAGACCGGAAGGTACTCATCCTGCTGGATGTTCAGCATGAGTTCCAGGCCATTGCCTGTCCCACCCTTGACCGTCGTGAGGAGCTCATAGCCGGGAGCCCCCGAGTTGAATGTGTAGCACTTCCCCAAGCGTGTGAAGATCTGCGGGGGGGGGGCGGAAGAGAGAGAGGTGGATGGCATCAGAAACGGGAGGGTTGGGTCTCCTCGGAAAAAGGAACCACCGCACAAAGGACCCCTGGTCCAGGGCATCTTGCTCCCCATCCCTTTCCCCCCCCCCATGGCTCAGTCAATGTGGGAGTCCTTTAAAAAAAGCTCAGGGAGGCACGGGGGGGGGTAGTTGGCCGGTGGCTTCTGGGCATCTGTTCCACGCAGGGGGGAGGGGCAGAGAGGGTCTGGGCTCTGCTCCCCCCCCTTGGCAATCCGATTTGGGCTCCTGCGTGGGGTGGGGGTGCCTCTGGACAGCAAGGCGTCCCGAAAGGCAGCACCCATCCTGCACCAGCCTCTTGTGCCTAACAGAAAGGAAGGTGGTTTTGCAACCCCCAGGATTAGGGAGCCAAGAGCCAAATTTGCCAACAGCTAAACAATGGCAAGCTGTCCTATTCACACAGATCGGTGCTTGCTAATTATTTATGAAGGGGAAGCAATAAAAACGGCCAAGTTGGCCGTTTGAAAGAGAAATGGGCCAGGCCCATTAACCACCTGGGGAAGCCCGGGAACAGGTGGGCCGCCTTCTCCGCTGGTCCCAGGCGCTTCCTCTCTCTTCCCCCCCCCACGTGCTTGCCTGGATTTGGCCCCAAAGAGCCAAGCAAGGAAAGTGCGGGTGAAGCCTGGAGGCCCATGACCCTCCTGCCCTCCTGCCCTCCGGGACGGCCAGGCCGAGCCTTCCCTAGCCCCACCTGGGGAGCCCGCCGGGAATGGAGTGCCTGGGTGACCTCCTGGGGCACTTGGAGGAGGCGCTCCATCATTGGGCCGGGATCTATCCTCCGCAACCATCTTGGGTGGGTGGCTCTGCGTGGGTGGGTGTGCGTGTGTGTGTGCGTAAGAGAGAGAGACAGACAGACAGACCGACCGACAGACAGACAGACAGTGAGGGGGGGACTCAGAGGCAAGCCAAACTTGAGGCCACGCATCACTTCATTCCGGATTGTGGAGCCCAGCCTCCCGTGGCCCCCTCCGTAGGTGCAGAGCCCAAAGGTAAGGGTGACGGATGAGCTCAGCTGCCCTTGTAAACAGAAGAATTAAAACGGAGCCAAACCATAGGAAGGAACTGCCAGCCAGCAGTCCATCATCAGCTTAATTGCAATTCTAAACGGCCCACAACTGACCAGCAAGGGGGCAGGGCGGGCAAGTAGCCCTGGAAACCATGAGCTGACCGGCTGCAACATGCACAGAAATGGAAATAAATCCGTGCCTATCATTTGCATTCTGTGGCCACTGCCAACAGCGGGCCAGCCGGGTTGTGACCTTGCTGCGCCACACAAGGCCCGGCCGGCTGTTGGCGGGGGGGCTTAGCCTCGGTCTCTGGTTCCTGGGCTCTGCTTAGCACAGGGAGCCCCCACCCCCACCCCCGCCTTCGAGCAGCCGGGCTCTTGTGCTGCAAAGGATCTCCGTTCAAGGGGGGCAGCGAGAGGGGGGGCTAGGTTGGTGTGGGCGCAGGGGCGGGAGTGTGAATTCTGCTTTAAATATATTTGCAACTCAGGAGGCCGGGTGTCCTTTGGCTCCTGCTATTGGCCAAAAAAAGCTCTATTCCTGGCTTTCCAGAAAAGCCCCCAAAGTGGCCTGTTTTCAAGGCAAGACCTGCACGGTCGGTCGGGGCTTGCACAGAGACAGGCACAGACGTAGATACTACCTGACGGAGTGGCTGCCTCCCGGACAAGCCCGTCCCGGCTGAGTGGGCACCAGGGCAGAGGCTGGGGGGTGGGCAAGCCCCAGGAAGCCTGTGAGTCCTAAGGAAGCACTCCTTCACTTACAGCCCGCCTGCCCCCAAGATCTGTTTCTATGGGATCCTTGGGGGGGGGGAGCCTCAACTCCCAGATTAGTCTCAGCGTTGAAACCATCCCATGCGACTGAAGTGGCTGAGCCACACTGCAGGCTCCTCTGTGGTGCCCAGCAAAAAAACCCTGCTGGTTAACGGAATCCCTCCAGATTGCCGCCTCTTTGGCTTACAACTGCCAACATCCCTAGTGAAGCCGGGAGGAAGACGCAGCCCGAAACATTCTAGAGGGGCACCGCCTGCCTTAACGCCGCCGCAGGGCAAACCAAAGGGTTTCTTGTGGACAGAGTAAATCCACCACACCTGCATCATCTGTGAGTCCACAGCTGGTGCCCTCTTCTGGCGGTCACCTCTGCCTGGGTGTACTTGGCACATGCTCAGAGGCATGAATGTCTCCTCCCTTCAGAGGCGTCGTCCTGCCTTAGCAATCCTGCCCACGTTGCAGCCCAGGCAAAGGGTCGGGCTGGTGGGGCAGGCAGTGGGGCAGGCGGCGCTCTGGCCAGGAAGCTCAGGGGGCAGCTTCGGGGGCTCTTGGGTGTACCTGCTTCTCAGCTTTTTCTCACACCATCACCACCACCACCACCACCTTCTGGTGTGGCTGACCCAGCTTTGAAGGGCACTCAAGATCCAGCCGATGGATCCCGAGCGGAAGGACAGGGTCTGGCCAGGCCTGGGTGAGCCGGCCTCCCCTTCCCTTCTGAGCCAGCTGCCCAGCAACGGGCGATCGTCCGCAAGACAGACTGCAGCGTGGG